ATGAAAGTTTCTCATATAAACACAAGAGAAATTCATCCCGCTTACCGGGCTGTCTTGCTAAGCGGGCCATCCCGGCTTCCATATAAACAGGCCATTAATTGACATATGTTCCTCAACCAATTCAGAAGAATCCAAATTTTCCACATATACAATCTCACTAACATTTCTCATTTTCGGTACACAGAACACAAGTTGGGGATAACTTTTCATCAGTCATTACTTGAGTTTAAAAGCTCTATATTTAGATGCATCCACATTCTCAGTGTCCTTAGCAATGATAACAAATTTCTCCAGCAAATCTTTCATATACTTTATTTGCTTATTTCTGATGACCTCCATCTCAATTACTTTCTTACAGAAATATACATCATAAGACTTCTGGTACACTGATGCTCTCGTTGCTTCTTCGTCTATCTGGTGATAAATATTGTATGATTGCAGTAGCAAACTTTGTGATAGCGGATTTCCAGAGCTACACAGTTTTTACCCTGGATTTGCATGATCTGTTGATCATTCTTTCTCTCGGCAGCTGTACGTAGAAGACCAGCATCAATTGTTTCTGCCAACATGAGTGGGGTTCTTCTCTTCTTAGTTACCTGGTGTGAAACAAAATAAATTATTAAACTAAATATCTGCTAATAATAAGGTTGGATGTTTGTAGCATAGAAACTACTTTACCCTAAATAAACTTAATTGATCACAATTCAATATATTTTAAAACCAAACCTGAGAATGTTGTGCACATTGCGCTAGTATTATATCTATCAAAATGACCATACCTTGTCTAGTGAGAACCACGAGGCGTCTCTTCCACAAATAATACATATCTTTGGGAGTACATGCGCGTTTCTTTTAGGCAGGGCCTTTATATTTATAGCTTCTGCGACTGATTGACGTGTAATTTTTCGCCTTGGTTCTATTTCCTCCACTTCCACGTGTGATTCTTCAGTAGAAGTTATAGTTTTAGAGCTAGTTCCTTCTCCTTTTTCTTCTTTTCTCTGTTATCTATGGATCTTCGGTTCATCGCAAAATCTCTTCTAGCATTTCATATGATGGTTCCATTCCAAGTTAATGGTGTCAGAGTTCTTCTCGATGTATGAATTGACAGATCCGTCATCGATGTTCTCGTACGATTTCTTAGCTATTTCAGCTTGTTGACATTTAAGTTTGGCCCATTTTGACCTACACTCAAGAAATTTCTTAAGCCTTTGGCGTGTAACTTTGCAAAGTTGCTCCGTAACGCCATCAAAATGCATAAAACATGAGGATATTCGAGTTTTATAAATATCTTCAGCCATGTTTATTTGCATAACTGAGCGTGGTTTCCACTTCGAAGCATGTGCGTTGGTTGTGCGCGTGCGCAGTGCGAGTTTGGCTGAGTTGCGCATGCGTATTTGCTATCAAAACAATGGCGGTTCGAATATTTCGAAGCGCGAAAATATCAAACTTTGGAGGGATTTTTCTCCCAATTGTGCACCTGTTTCGCTTGGGGAGCAACGGATTCTGATAAAGTAAGTTTTTATCTATTTATTCATGCGAAAATTACGTAGTTCCACGAGGGGTGCAACGGAATCCGTTTTCTAAGCATCTTTTGGATGCTCATCCCACGGCCTATTAGACCCCTCAACTGAAAAGCAAAAATTTTGAGACAGTCACGGGTTTGCATATATATCACGATAAAATACGCATTCATATATATAGTCATGCAATAAACACACAAATGCTGTTATTTGTTGAGTAAAACTATACTATAAAGGGAAAATTGTATTTCTCTTTTTTTAAAAAATAGCGAATAATCAATGTATCGAAGTTTTACCTTTTGTTGTATTATCTCCTCATCATCATCGAAATAATTTAGTGGTATTGCTAGTTTCAATCGTTTGTTCGACACTTTCTCCTAATAATATTAAAACAGAATAAACGATAAAGTATCAGTAATTCGTTTTACTGTTTAGACCGACCAATAACAAAATATGTTACAGTTCTTTCTATCTTAGATAAATAGCATGGTAATTTAACAATTTTTGTCAATGGTGACCATGATCCGTATAGATTTATTATTCCTTGACCGCGTAAAGCAAATTTAAGATCTTAGAGGGTGATTTCTATAATAATGAATGATGTCTTACCTTTTCCTCAACATTGGAGTACTTTTGGTCCTTTTGATTTTGTGGTGTTAAAAAATGCATGCTTATAATTTGGTATCTGCATGGAATGATATTCCTAATTAAAACAGAATATGCACGTATATATATATATAGATTATAGATTATAAAGTATCAGTTCGTGTTATATTTTAAACCAATATTTTGTAGTTCACTTTGGGCTATATAGCTTTTGGCAATGGTGATTAATTATTAATTCAGTCACATGCATGCATTTAATGAATGACGATTGGTTTAACGTATATATATATATATATATATATATATATATATATATATATATATATATATATATATATATATATATATATATATATATATATATAGATATATATATATATATAGATAAAGATAAAATAAACCTGGTTTACTTCATAAGATTTATTCACTACAAACTTGTTTCGTATGACAAGCAATGCTTGCCACACTCATCAGGTGAATTGTGATTTTTTTTTTAAATTCACCTGATGAGTGTGACAAGCATTGCTTGTCATACGAAACAAATTTGTAGTGAATAAATCTTATGAAGTAAACCAGGTTTATTTTATCTTTATCTATATTACCTCTATACTTCGGTATATCGAGCACTCTACTCATATATGATTCTAAATACATATTTGGTATATATATATATATATATATATATATATATATATATATATATATATATATATATATATATATATATATATACGTATCTACTATAGTACACAGCAAGACTTTTCATGTTGTTTTAAGGTATAGAGTTAATCCTTTTGTTTTGTTTTGTTTTGTTTTGAGTTTTTGGCTCCGTTTTTATACAAATTTCAAATCTCCATTTTAAGCCAACCAAATGCTATATTGAGTTACTATAAAGGCCGATTTATACACTTCACAACTTTTATCTAAAACTGTCGTATGCAATCACCTATACGACACCTAGTTGTGTGCTTTATTTATGCGGTACAACTCAACTATGTAAACAGGTTGCATGCGACAGTTTTAGACAAAAGTTGTGTAGTGTGAATCGGCTTTAATATGTAAAATTACAGTCTTTCCCAGGGCATTTCATTTTGACAAAATTTCATTGATTTTTGAAAAATTTTTTGGGGGGACATTTCCCCAAAGCTCCCTGGAGAAGTCACGCTTTCGGCGTTTGCTGTCCCCCCCCCTCCCCCCCACACACACACAACACGTCTAGATTGATTTTAACCATTGCCTGTTGTAGCGGTTGTTGCGTTCATGCAGTCATTGCATGAAAGTGTATTGATTGATTGATTGATTGATTGATTTTAATTTTGCCAACAAAAATGAACTAATACATTAACGAAATAAAACAAGAAGATAGATAGTGGCGAGGAAACCCAAGTAGAAACCGGAAGGCTATTGGAATCTTGGGTTACCTCATCAATATAAATTCACTAACATGCAATTATGGTTAAAAACTCATTAACAATTATAGTACGTTGATTAAAATAACAATGTTTACACGTAAAGAAGACAAACAAGAGAACAGCACAATGCAACAATATAACAAACACAAGAACTGATTAACTATAAAGAGACAAAAGATATTTATTAAGTTTAAGTTGAAATGTTGAGATTGAGAGTGAATCTCGAATTTCACTATTTAAAGAATTAAAAAGTTTAGGGCCTTGGAATTTTACAGTAAATTTTTTGGCCTTCGTTCTACAAAATGGAACATAAAATTGGCCAGCAGTCCGTAAATTGTGAGAGTGGATTTGATCAGTGGTCGAGAAAAAATTGCTAAAACTTGGAGGAAGTAAATTTTTCTGGTAAGAAAACATGAACTTACCCAGATTAAGAAGATATATCTTCAACTTTGAGTATCATTTTGGAGTTAAATAAAGGTGAAGTATGTGCATCATAGGATGCATTACTTAAGATTCTAACTACTTTTTTCTGTAGTAATAATAGACGGTTGAGATTTGAGGGATACGTTGCTCCCCAAATGATAACACAATAGTTTAAGTAGGGATATACGAGAGCAAAATACAAGGTGCGCAGGGTAAGACAGGTGAGACAGAAACTTGATCTATATATCTATATATTATTCCAATGGACTTTGAAATTTTGCTAGCAACATACGAAATATGAGATTTCCAAGTCAGACTTTCATCCAAAATTACTCCAAGGAAAGAAGTTTCCTTGACTCGTTCTAGCCTATGATTATTTATTTCAATTACTAGATCAAGTGTTTGCCTCCTTTGTCTAGGGGTGAAAATTATATAATTAGATTTCTTAATGTTGAGCGACAGCTTATTAGCAAAAAACCATTCTGATAGATTTTTCATTTCAGTATTAATGACAGTTGTTATCCTAGATAAATCACTATCGGAAAAAAACACATTTGTGTCATCAGCAAATAAAATAATTTCGGCTATGCTAGAAGAATTAGCTATATCATTAATATAAATCAAGAAGAACAAAGGTCCGAGGATTGACCCTTGAGGTACGCCACACTTGATTTTACTTAAAGTGCCCCTGGCAGCAAAAATTTTTATTGGCGATATTAAATCTAGGTATGATTTCTAGCGTATCCGTGAAAAAAAAATTTCAATTTGGTCAAATCGTTCCATTTTTATGGCGTTTTAAAGTTGGCTTTCAATGGACCTTGTCCGCCGTGGCAAGGAGTCTGGGTTTAGCCCAATTTCTGACGTCACGCAAGGCAGTCGGCATTTAGCTTTGATCGATTTGGATTGCTGTTTTGCTATTTCAGTCGGTGATTCTGTTTTATATTTGCTCAAAAATACTATAATGTCTGACCATGAAACTGATTCGCAGGAGAGTTATCAAACTGATGACTCCGATACAAACTTTATTCCGGGGTACATAATGGAATGCACTGACCTTGGAAGTTCGGATGATGGCTCGAGCGTTGAAGAGGACAACGCGGGCCTAGCATATGCCGATGAACCTTTGGCTGACGACGAGTGGCTACAAAACTACAACAGGCAAGAAAGAGAACGGCTAGAATTACAAGAAAAGCTAGGGAGAAGACTGGATGGTTCTGTTGAAGTGAGCGAGTGGTAAGTATTTGGTAAACATCGATAAAATTCGTGTTTGTTTCGGATTATTAATATCGAATATATGCGAGGAAATTTTATGATTTCTATCTATAAATTTCGAATGTTTTTCTCCTTTTTTATCACAGGTGCAATTGTGGGAATTGTGACATAACCTTACTAACAAATAATAGTGAATGTCATTGTTGTTTTGAACTGGAAGGATGCGAGGAAGCTATGAATCGCGAAGAAGTCATACAGGATCTCAAAGCCGAAGGCGTGCAAAATGCGAAGTGTGTAACACAACACCCGGGATTCAACCCCGTATGCTATACCATGCCTAAATCACACCAGTGTTTCCAAAAAAAAATTAAAGCACGCGTGCTATCGTGCCTAATTAACCTGACATGGTTATAGTATATAGGTGGTTAGATAATACATTTCAACAGATGATATTGTTGCCTAATTGCGATAGAAAATTGTATTACAGTGATAGATATGGCTGTGCCAGAGTGCTTTCGTGCCTTGCGATGGAAAATGGTAATACAGTGATAGATATGGTTGTGCCAGAGTGCTTTCGTGCCTTGCGATGGAAAATGGTAATACAGTGATAGATATGGCTGTGCCAGAGTGCTTTCGTGCCTTGCAATGGAAAATGGTAATACAGTGATAGATATGGTTGTGCCAGAGTGCTTTCGTGCCTTGCGATGGAAAATGGTAATACAGTGATAGATATGGCTGTGCCAGAGTGCTTTCGTGCCTTGCAATGGAAAATGGTAATACAGTTATAGAAATGGTTGTGCCAGAGTGCTTTCGTGCCTTGCGATGGAAAATGGTAATACAGTGATAGATATGGTTGTGCCAGAGTGCTTTCGTGCCTTGCAATGGAAAATGGTAATACAGTGATAGATATGGTTGTGCCAGAGTGCTTTCGTGCCTTGCGATAGCAAATACCTAGTAATACAGTGATAGATATGGCTGTGCCAGAGTGCTTTCGTACCTTGCGATGGAAAATTGTAATACAGTGATAGATATGGCTGTGCCAGAGTGCTTTCGTGCCTTGCGATAGAAAATGGTAATACAGTGATATATATGGCTGTGCCAGAGTGCCTTTGTGCTTTGCGATAGAAAATTGTAATACAGTGTACAGTGATAAACATGGCTGCATTTTATTATTTTTGCCATGGAGACGCACGTTGCGACGAAATTGGATACCCATACTCTGGACTGCAATTTTCAAAGGACATTCACCGCCTGGCAAATATTCGGCATTGTAAACCGAGTTGCGGGTTATCGTAGCCAATAATATTCGAGCTTATACCTCGCGCGTCACACGGTATATTAAATTGACCTGACTGGCTCTCATTGTTACTGTCAAATTGCAATTGTTAGCAAGTGGAAACGTTTGTTCCTATTACTGTTTTCGAGTCTGGATAAGTTCTTGTGCGCAAAGTAAGTGCAATGAATAACATATATACTGTGACTTTTGTTTACCCGTCATTTGTTATTTTTATAAACATTTATGTGTGGAGCCTACATATCTTTTTACAGTATGACTGCACCATCCACATCACAGTCTCCAATTAAAGGCCTCTCTGTTAGGGAAAACGAAAGTGGAAATCGCGCACTTCACACAAAAGTGCAAAAAAATCGCTACCGTTGTATATCAAATTTCTACTTCGATTTGAAGGCGTTCATAAACTTTCCGTGTATCGATCACATCAAGTACAATGGTTTTATTGTTGATGTTCATCGAATCGATGGTGTATCAATGTAAGTATAGCTACTAAATGTTACTCGTTTTTATATCATTTTAAGAGAACGCCTCCCTCCGGCATAAGTCGGCTGCTTTGTTTTTTTTTAGAAATTTATTTTTGTACTGCGGTAGTCTAATGCAAGAATTAAAATCATATTTGCTAAACAAAACGAGGTTAGTTTTAAAAGAAAGCAGTTCTTTACAACATTGACTTACAGGGCGCGTTTCTTCTTAAATTGATCCACGAATTTTAACTTTATGCGCAAATATGTGATTTTTTCAAGCACTATCGGTGCCACTGGCACTGATGCCAGCCGTTGTTACTCCGGTGAACTTACATCATTCACACTTCGAATTGTTTTCCGGCGCTTGAGATAAGGAAATCTATGTGTTAGGATGATTGTTATGATAACATGTTGTTTGCTCGAGCTTCCTAATTTAAAGGTCCACTTGTCTCACAATCGGGAAGGCTATTCTTGGTTGATATGTTATCTCGAGTTGAT